CGTTGGTTGGTTGGTAGTAAATATCTATGTATTGACTGTTTAAACTTGCGATGTCACGTTTCAACATTCAAAAATACAAAAAAGCCAAAAATATAATCCAGTTGTGTGAGCTTTTTTGTGGTCCTTTCACTTCTCCACGTTTTTCGTTAAAATGATTTGTGTTCGACGAACGAATTTTCGTTATATATGTGTTGCTCATGCAATGATTATAATGCTTTCTCCCTTTTTTGTGCGTTTATTTTGGTTTGCGTCGTTTTAATATATTCATTTCAATGTTTGCCACTTTTACGCTTGAAATACGAGTAGGCACGTGCGGATGTTCGTCAAACGATTTTGTTACGTGCATCGTACAAATTACGGCATGCTAACTGAGCTCATATACAATTTTATGTAAGCGAATGAACTGGATCTCTGTTGCCTAGGACCATGTGTATTTTTGATCGTATTATGTGCTGTTCATATCGATTTGATGCGAAGATCTATATATTTATGCCTTAACAATTGCAATAAAACAAAAATCGATTGATCTGAGCTGAATGAATCTATTAGATCTTTCTATAATTCATATAGATTTTGTAGAATCATAATCATTTCTTGATTATTACTTATCTTCGTTAGTGAGAACGATGTTGTTACGCGTACACTTATTTTGTACTTATTTAAGATCGCATTAATTTTTTCAATACTTTCGACTCAATTTGATGATGGTGTGTAGGCAAATTATCGACATCGATTTGTTAATAAATGGTTTTATCACTCATTGAAATTTGTAATACTATTATGATGTATCATTCCTACGCGTTTTAAATTCTTGTGGTGGATTACACTTTACATTTCCGTTGAAACCGACACGAAACTCAAGGCTAATCGAATATATGAAAAAAACCAGTAAGGATTATACATTTGAAATGTAACATTTCCCATCATTTTAATTTTAAATTGTTCGTCACGAGTCCAGTGCGTGCATTATGAAATGATTCGATTCACCCGAAATGCAAATTAATTTTCAAAAACGAAAAATTAATAGAAAATGTTTTGCCTGCGAATTTTCCATGGTTATAATTTGGCAAAGGTCAATTTCAAGTAACCTTGAAGAAATGGAGTATATATTCTATCTTCGAGCACATACCATTCAGTTTACAAAAATGACTAGCAAAAACGAAATAGAAAATGAATGAAAATGAACAAAAAGGAAAACTTTTCACATATTTTGTAATGCAAATTTGCATTGTTGTTTCAATTGAATTACGGTTACGAGTGAGCGATTGTGTTGTTATTTTTGGATCCTTTGTTTGCCTCTCTCGGTGTGCTTTCAACGAGCCTAATTTTGACGGTGAAAAAAGACGTTGCACAGCTCGTGTTTTTTTAAAATGGAGTGTACGTTTCCTGTTTCTTTCGTGAAAGTCAAGCGTTGACTGGCAAAACTCTATACAAAAAACCGATGCGATTGCCTGGTTAGAAACAGTCATCGTCACAGTCACGTATGACTTGATTGCAACCAACTGACAACGTAAACAAAAGCGGAAAACAAAAATCCATCGTTATTGTTAGATTCGATATAAATATATGTGCGATGGTACTGTGTATATTGCACTGAAGTAAATGAGGAAAAACTTGGAAACGATGTCATTGTCAATTGTCGGAAAACTAAAGCTTAATGTTTGTACAATGGATATTTGTTTATTTGTTTTTATCTTAATGATTGATGATCGCTTGCCGTTTGTTTTTAACTCAATCTGTTCGCCTCCTCTCTTTTATTTTTCTCATGCGTTTCTTTTTTTTTTTTTTGCAGCTCTGGTCTTCATTTCTGGTCAAGGCAAACACTTCCACTTTATGTGCGTCGGAATGTGAGAAGGCGCACCATTTAAATGATACATTATCATGCAGCACAATCGCTAATGCTTTTTCTTTCTATTGATAATGGAAACACTCTCGGCTCCATTATCATATAAATTGAAACGCAAGTCGCTCATTTATCAGAAATCAATTACGTGATTGATTATACTCATTCAGCGAATAACCATATTCGCCAATTTCATTTCGATTATATCATATTAAAAAGTTCTTCTCGAATACTCTAGATTTTGATGCGTCAAAACTGTTGACTCAACAGTAAATAGTTTTATGCTCAAGCATATCGATATATATATATTACAGTAGCGTGCGAGGAAAATTTTTCAGGGGGGGGGGGTGATTTTCCAAAAACAAAAAATTCTCTAGCAAATCAGACAAATTTTCGTGTTTTTTTTGGAAGTCACTTTTTGAGACGAAAATCCCTAGCAAATCGAAAGAATTTTCTCCGCAAAAAAACCTAGCAAATCGGAAAAAAATCTCTCGTAGCCAAAAACCCTAGCAAATTGAAAAAGTTTTCCTCAATTTTCTACATTGATGAGCTAAAAAAAAAAGGTCTTCACTTTTTGACTCAAAAACCCAAAATTCGAATAAATTTCACGAAAAAAAAATTCTCATCTAAATCACAAGGGGGGGGGGGTAAACCCTCCCCTCCGCACACTACTGATATATTATATATGGAATGGGTGAGAAAATCTAGGAGAAAATTTTCATTTTCAACTTAGAACTTACTCATTCACATGAAGTTTCCAATTTAATTTACACCACATATCTTACATGAATCGTTGCGGAGAAAAAGTAGCTCTTATTTTTCTCCAAATAATACTGCAACATGAAGTTTTTTTCACACGGTTTATTTGTTGTAATACAAAAAATAAACTATTCATAAAAACTTTATGTTGCAGTATTATTTGGAGAAAAATAAGAGCTTCTTTTTCTGCGCAACGATTCACATGCTACACTATGCCACTCACATACTCAATCGCATAATCATCGAGTCAAATATATCGAACATATTTATAATTGCAGTTTAACTCATTTACAAGTTGAAAACATGATCTATGGTTAAATTGAGATCCGATTATATCGTGTCATGGTTATCTTTTATCGTTTACATCATGTCATTACGCATTTCAACACGTTCTCACTTCAATATTACTTCCCGTGTTTCAAACATTATATTGAATCTTCTTATCTACTATATAAAGTAAAAATTGACGCCCTAATTACAGAAAAAATATAGACCCTAAAGAAGACAGCTCTAGGGGATAGACACCAATTTCTAGTATATTTAGTTTCATTTAATATGTATTGAGTTTCTTTCTAGGGGGAATTATCTATACGTTTATACGGTTTATACTCAAGTATTTTTTTACCGAATATACTATAAATAGATGAAGACATCGCAAGTATGCCGCATATACGCTGCATATATGCGTATAAACCACATAAATACGGAGTTATTTGCAAATATTATTTGCAAATATTCTTCGGTATATACGGTTTATATTCTTATACGCAGCATATTCGTAACTTATTTTATTCGATATTTTCCCCTAGGTTTCTTTCGGTTTCTTCTGGTTTCGTTTAGTACACAAACAAAAACGCAAATATTCTGCTACTATTTCTAGTATTGAGACAAATGAATCGCATTGCCAGTGTGAAGACATTTATAAGGAGAACAATCGAAACCATTGTTCTCACTGAACGCAAATATTTTGTTTACAAAAATGTACCGTTAATCTCATCATAAGAAAAGTATTGGCAATGTATTTGGTATGGATCGGTCGAAGAATCAATATGAACATTTGTTCACAAATATTCTTTCAGTAGCTTCTAGTAGATTCTAGTATACTTTTAGTTTTCTATAGTAAAAATTTGTGTCTGCCCCCTAGAGACAACTACAACAGAATAGAAGATTCAATAAATGCACTTTTTGTGTATATGTATTTTACGGATTTTTTTGTGCAAGGGTTCTAGGATTATACATGAAAACAGTCGACAAGTTGGGTTAGCGAGGTCCATTAGCTCAGCAAATCAAAAGTATCCTTCACATCGAAAAACCTTTGCAAATCTAATGACTCTCACCCCACAAAACCGACTTTCTTTAAATTCGGAAAACCCTAGCAAATTGGAGGAATAAATGAATCATTTTATGTTAATGTTCGCTGAATATGCTCATTTTAACACTATAGCAAAATAGTGTGTAGTAGATAATTCGAAAAACAATTGTCCTGTATTGAAACATTTATGCCAGTGTACGAGCACAAACTTTGGTTGTTGCTAGGGGACATTGTCTTAAATCAATGCACATAATAAATTAAATTCTATATTTAGGTGCACATGCAATAATTTTTCCCACAATTTTTTATGCATACAGAATTACTCTCATATATAATTCAATACAAATAAGAATGTTGTCTCTCAAGAGCGCTATTATGGTACATAAATCAAGTGTTATAGAAAAGTAGGTATTTTTGTGACCGTAAACACCATATTTTTGATATAATTTTATGTAAAAGAGAAATATGATGCATATTCGGCATGTGCAAAATTCAACATTCGTTCGTCAACTATAAAAAATGATAGTTGGAAAATGTGAGTTTGTTTGCTGTTACACCATCAATTTAATAAAGAAATCAAACAAATGGAGAACATGTGAAAAATGAAGAAACTTTTCTTTGAAACACGATTTCCACCAAAGACACACAATAATAAATCATGAAGTGTCATTTTTATCGAATGTTTGCTACATCTTTTGTTGCTTTGCAAAAAAAAGCACGTGGATACCAAATGGAATATGAAAAATGAAAACGACGATTTCAAAAATGACTCTAGTTATTCGCTTGGCAACACACAACCTTTTGAACAGATACACATTTCATCATTAATTATGGAACATTTAATATCGAACAAGAGAACATCTCAAATTCACTTGAACGTGTTTAACTGATGATAGATCATTAAAAATTCAACAAATTCTCTTAAGTGAATTCTAGTGAATACATTAAATGTGAATACATTGAATTTCAATTGATCTGTCGAAAACATTTACGTTGTAAATGGCTCATAATGGAATAGAAATCAATGCAAAAAAAATGAAAATTTTATTGACTTCGAAATTCGAAATGAATATAATTCATATATACCTCGTTTTCTTCCTTTGAATAGTACAATTTATGGCCTTTCAGTCGAAAATATCGGCGTCTCCATCGTTGGTGAAATTTCCATTGCTGCTTCATTAAATACCCTTCTTTTATAACGGCCTGCAAAAAGAAGAAGAAGAAATATAATTACATTTTGATTGCGACTAAACAACCCATTAAATGTTGGGCGTATCCCTTTATAATATAATCGTCTAACCATCTTCAACTGAACCCGCAAAAACACTAGATTATTATTTATAGCACTGGGCAATTCAGTTTGGTTGCTGTTACGTCAGTGATTTTCGCTTTTGCTTTCATTTTTGTGATTTCTTTGTGGCACTTTTTATAGCATGTATCCATCATTTGAGTGACAATGTGTATATTATGATAATCTTTTTTTCGAAGAAATTACGGTACATGTTTTGAAAGGAAATTCTGTTAAGTAATTGCATAACAATAATAGCCAAAGTGATGAATGAAATAAACGTTACAAACGTTCAATACTTGAAGTTCAAGTGCGATTGTATTAGCATGTGTTGCTAATTGCCGAACATATGATGAAAATTTACCCCAACTTCAATTTACTGACACTAAATATCTTCATAAATGCGCAATAAAACTCTGCTGCATGCTTGAAGGAAATTGCGATTACGAAAATTCCTCGAAAAATTAAAAAAATGTTGAAACTCACATAAACACATCGTCAAGGGTAAAATACTTGTAGTTTACGCATGAATTTTCCAATCCATTTTAATGACACATTTTAACGAGATTTTATCAATTTCAATTTGTACGTTGCGCACTCGTTGGGAAATAATATAAAATCGAATTGGTTTACGTCGTTTTTCAAACGGAAAAAAATCACCTAATGTTAACGATCCATTTGGAGTTTTACATCCGAAGTCAATAACTTCATTTGCATCGCATATTATCAGTAGCGAAAAGAGGAATTTACATTTCATCAAATGAAAAACTTGCCAATAAAATATCCTTTGAGGTTATTTATTATGCGAATAAATTGATTATCTAAGCATTAAATTGCGAAGGCGCGCGCCAACATTGTCACTGTGACAGTAACTCGAATTTTTTTTCATTGAATTTTCTTCGAATCGATGCAATAAATAAAGACCCTTTTCAATTTCGGTATGGCCAAACAAAGAATGTACCTACAATATCATAAAGAAACAGATTGTATGCGAAACGATACGCAAAACGAATCAATTTACATAAATGTTGTTTTTTTCTCCTCTTTTCGCATCTAATTTTCAATGAAATCGAATGATTGATGAATCAATCAATAGCGATTTACACCTGATCCTCTTCGTCCTTCGTTTGCAGGTACCAGAAAACCCAGAATGCTCGTTATATTCGATATTCGTGATAAAGAAAATTCCATTTATGCAAATTCTTCGAAAGCATCAAACAAGCAAATTTGTGTTGCTAAGCCAACATTCTCCCACATCCAAAACCACCCGATGAATTCTTCCGCCAAATTCACAGCCCGATGAATTTTTCGTTTTCGCAACAATTTTTTCAATCCACTTTGGAGAGATTTTCTCGGGAATAATGTCACATAAAGATTCTCAAGAGATTGCATAGTTGTGAAAAGAATTTGTTATTGTTTTTACCACTCACATGTGAATTTTACAGAGTTCAGGATATTCTGCCTCCATATCGATGCCATAAAACTTTCATGCAATGAAATGCCTTGGGACAGAAATGTTCATGGTATTTTCCTTTATGCAATACTACAGGCTTAAATTCCATAAATGCATATGAGTAATAAAAAAAACAGAGTTTAAAATGCATGCGAAGCGTATAAAATTCACTATTTTATTACAATGCAAAGAATAAATTATTGCTTGTGACGTACGTGCATGTATGTGCGCTTTACACAAAACGTACAGTGTAAATTTATGTTCGCCTTTTTTTTACCGTTCGTTAAAAGTTAAAGTTGAAATTAAATGAGCAACATTATGCCAAATGCAAAGACAAAAGAGTCAGACGACAATGGTTGTATGGTGGTAGTTTTAACTGCATTTCTAGCGTGCACTTAACAAACACATTGAATTCGTTTATTTTTTCTTACCACGCAAAAATGTTGCAATTTTCATCCAAAAACTGACCCGTTCACCGGTCCGACAGCTATGTGCCAATGAATTCATTCGACCTGAAACTTAAGTTACCAGCACCTTACGGTGGTCGATTTTTGAACGCAATTAAGTTTGATGGCCTCTGCTCTATCTTCAGCACTTATTCACACGCACACATACACACAAACACCCAATAACAATTGTGCATCGTATAGCTCATGGGAGAATTTTCCCGTCGTCTTGATGCACACACTGGACCCATACTATGACGTCAAATTGACTCATGTAATTTTATTAATTGTTCGCTCGCTCGTTTGTTCGTTTGCACAGCACATATATTTACGCAAAAGAATGGCGTCGAATAATGCGAGCATTACACTTTTGACTACATATAGACGATATGATAGCTTGTATATATGTATGTCTCAAGAGTGCTATTCAATTCGTTTTAACAAAATTACGTTGCTTTTTCCATTACAAAATATTTAATTCGGTATAAACTTTAGTTTCATAAAATTCAATTGAAAATGTTGACCATGTTGTGTGCATGTCGTGTTAGCATTTAGACAAAATGCAAGAAAAAAGAATAACTACACTGTGAAATTACTAATAACGCAAACGCTAATTTGTCCATTTTGAATATACATGCCACTGTTCGCAAATGAAATGCTTTTTTTTTAAATTACAATAAAAAATAAAACGGAAAACTAGAGGGTTGAATACGGCTATTCAAATGAACAATGAAAACACATCGATTAATGTCAACTTGCATATCAGTCATCATGATACAGCATACTATAAATAAATTGGTTTTGTTCAAACAATAAGCTTTACGATATTGGGAGTTACGAGCAATGTGATGATGAATATTTTCCATTTGCAATAAATCAATACGTAAGAGACATACAAAAAATTTTACAACATTTTGAATATTTAATTGTGGCAGTACGACAAAGGCATCCTACCACGAACTTCCTGTCATGAACACACATTTATGTGAGCGCATGTTTTTGTTGACAACACCAAAAAAAACCTCGTGGGAAATGAATGTGGTTTTTCTCTCCTTTTTTTTCAATAAGTGTAATGTTCAATTGATAGAAAAGTGTGTTTGCTTTATTTCAATCAACAGTTTCTATGCATTTAGTGCCACACAATATCACTTGGTGGTTGATGATGAAATTATCGATTCATGATTCAATTTTCTTTTGCATGATATTCTCTCGTTTCATAGGAACTCCGAAGATGATCAAAAAAATGGATGGCTGGCGAGTGAAAAAAAATCAACGAATACGAGTGAATGTTTGTTTGTGAATGAACGAACATTCTGAATGGCCCTAGTTGTTGGATAGTTTTTACGGCCAACCATGATTGCAAAAATGAATTGGATGTGTGTGTTTATTGTTTGACTTGTTGTTGTGCTTGGAAAATGCCCGTTTTATTGCATGCAGACAGCAACAAAAAAGGCGAATACTTTTTAAGGCCAGAGTTTAGTTTGAAGAGGTTTTATCCAATGCTATTCAATGTAGTCGCTTTCGCTATAAAACATTTCTGGCTTCGATACCAGCTTTTCATTGTCTGTGGTTATTGTTGTAGTTTCAAACAATTTGAACATTTTACATTCCAGCCCAGTTTTATCCGATTGTCTGCGCCAAGCCATTGCAAACATTGTCTGAACACTAAATAAAAAAGAAACTGGAAAAAAGAGCACACCAATGTCATAGCAAAATAAATTGGCATTAACAACGATTTTTACGATGTCAAATATAATTGTTGTGTTTATGAGTCATGGACAAATTGTGTGGTAAAGCCGGGTGGTTTAAATCGAATGGGTTGTGATGATCCATGGAATGCGACCAAAGTAATCATCATTAACCTCTCGGCAAATATATACATTGCGTACGACAAAAAAAAAAGCGAGAGAGAGAATAAGAACATGTATAAATGTCTTCTCGGTTATATCGATTTCAAAATGAAGAGATAGAAAGAGTGTCGACCGCATCTTTTTTATTATGTGCTATTCGCATCCATAATGTTGGATGTTGATGTTCAGTTCAATTTGATTTTGAGGTCATGATGAACAGCATCTGCGCCTATTCGTTTGCTTAACAAACGACATGAGATACTCCACCCGACAAAGTGAGAGTATGTGTTTTGGTGATTTGGATGTGCTTACGCACTTTCGAATCGTGTGACTAATGCCCATAGTAAATAAAAGTGATAAATGGAAACGTTGTGTTTGAAATTGACCCAAATACAAGGAATTGTCGACTAAATAACCGTGCACCAATTTATTGGTCGACATTTGAATTGATGGCGCATCTAAAGTAATTCTTGTGCACGTTCCATAACAAAATACGATTGCGAAACGCATTTGTTCGCTTCAAACATACTCGATATTTACTGTATTATGAATTTTCATTCGAGCATGTCCTTCAAAGTATGTGCGTATGTACAAAAGTGTACGTTGTAGCTGGTTGGTTGGGGTCGATGAATTCTTTCGACGCATTTTTATTGAGTCAGCATTTATTAAAGTTGATGTCGATCAGTTCGTCGTCAAAAAAGTTTTTGTGACTTTTGGGACTTAGAGTAAAGTTTTGGTGTCACAACAAAACCACCACCACCAACAACATTAAAGAGACCAATTTTGTTTTCGCATAGATGTAGAATGGCTTTTTATCTTGAATAGTCATTCCAATGGTAAGCCGAGAGAAAAGATGATGAAAAGGTTCTCAAGTTTTTGTGGTTTCAACTGAGAAACTCTCAGAGTTAACACATGAATGTACTCACGAAAAGAGAAAGAAAGAACAAGGAGCATGCCTTTGAAAAGCTAAAATCTGAGATGATCCAAATCGATTTAAGGCATCTGCTTGAAGAACCGCAAAAAAATAAAATAAAACACTTTAGCTAATCCACATTTAATACATTTGCTCTGAAAGGAAAGCAGGAAGCTGTTTGATGTTTACGTGAAGGATTTCTTCGGTTTTCCTTTTTTCATGCTATGCGCACTGATTTTGATCAAATTGGAAAATGAATATTTGAAATTCGAATCATTTAGAGAGAAAAAAGGTCTTATTTTCCGTTTGCCATCAATCATACAAAACATTTGCACACATTTACGGCCACTGATGTAATGCCCAAAAATGAAACGTGGCAAAAATGATAAAGTATTTTTGACAGTATAAAAAATAATGATGCGACTGTTACAGCTGAACATCGGTCAAACAAATTGCTGTCAAATTCCTGCCATTAATCTTTGGTAATCTCTGTTATGCAATAAAATCCGAAAAGTTTCGGTGTGCCGCGCTGCGACAAAAATATATAGAAACACAACCCGAAAAAAGGAGCACGAAAAATGAAATCGATCATCTTATGAAAAACAAAAGTTGGCGTACGACAAAAAAACATTACCTGAAATGGACAGAGGGTATGCTGTCGCAGCATATGAAGAGAGTGTACGTTTTTAATGTGCGCGCTAAATAATGGTAATGGAAACGAAAAAAATGATCTAGCAAGATTTGAGACAGAATAAATTTTCTTTATTTACTGGTTTCCAATGTCACTGTTTTATTTTATTTCGCCTTGGGCATAAAATACCATCATAACTTTCTTTTTATATCTACTACAAAAGAACAAGAACGAAAAAATCATGGAAAAATGGTGCAAAAGATGAAGACAAAGAAAATTATATGGATCCATTATGATCCCTGGGTGCAAAATGCGAATACATACATTAAATATTGCATAACACAAATCCCGTTGTTTTTATCTTTCAATTTTAACGTGTAAAATAGCGTGCGAATATTTATAAAACATTCTTGCGATTGAGAGCGGAAGAAATAGAGCCAGAGAGAGAGAGAAACATATTAAAATTCGAAATGTTTTTGTATGATGAAATGGCTGAAATGGCGAGAAAAAAGGTGAAAGAAGAAGTCGAAGAACAAACGGAAGTCCGAAGACAAGACAGACATGAAATTGGAGCGACAATGTTTCATCATTCTTGATTTATTTATGAATTTATTATCAATTTTCCGCTTGATGTTTTTCCTTGTTATCTCATTTTTCTTTCAATGGTTGTGCAATGCTCAATCTGATTTCTTTTCCAGTATGCCAGTGAATCGATGAAAAACTACACTGCGATAAATGTACATAAATTATAGCCGATGAAAAACGTTGCAAACAAAATGAAAATGCTTGCTGTGAGGAATAGACTAGGGGCTTAATAGGGCAAAAAAATTCACAGGAATTCACGTAAATTCACACTTTTGAATCGAGTGGTTATTGATAAGTTCGGTGAATTCGTGTGAATAGAATGAAATGTGTCAAAATAATAAAGTGAGGTTATGATAACCGCAATATTTTTTAATTTATTATTTTTTCAATATTTCCGATTGTTTTCGATAGAAAATCGCTCAAATTGAAAATAAAATTAATTTCTATTAAAAAAATATAAAAAACATTTGCATTTTCGTTACACAAAATATAAATATTGCAGTAATTGCCAGCAGAAACTATTCACCACTATCTCACATATTTGAATGAAATTGCCGTAGAATTCACCGGAATTCATTTGTTTGCTGAAAAATTCAGTTAATTTAGATATTATTATAGAATTCAGTCGTTGAAAATTTTGAATTAAGCCCCTAGGGAATAGAACTTTATCGGTAATTCAAAAATATATTTGCAAATACTTTCAGCGGCTGGAATTTAGGGCAACAGGACGACGACGTGTCTATTTTTTCTAAATTGAATTGTCAGTAACTCATCACATACTCTAACCGCGCGTCGGAACATAGTAAATCGAAAGTTGAAACGTGCAAAATTACGATACGACAACGATAACACACATAAAATCAATTTCTCAACGTCATCTTATGTGGAACAACACACCAACCACATGCAACGTGCGATTTTTTTATTCTGCCACTAATGTAATGAACTAATACCACCACTAAAAAGGAACGAAATGAGAGCACACGCGCACCACTTTCGTGTTTCGTTTTAATTAAAGGCAGCAGCAACAGCAGAAAAATCCAAGTCTGTCAACAAAGAATGACTGGATAAAAGCTGTGCGTTTTTTTTGTTCATTCAATCGTCGTAAACATGAAACCTGACACGTAGCGACGCTCTTTTGTTAGACTTTATTATTTAATATTCGTACTGCATAAAAAAGCCCGACGATGATTTCTAACAACGAAACGTGGCTCAAACGAAAAGGCACACCTTCGTTTCGCTTTTATTGATTGAAACTTATCACAGTTGGAAATGGAGGAGTTGTTTTTTTCTTCTCCCTTTTCATTCTTTTTCCATTGAAATTCAAAACTTGAAATCTACACCTTGCTCATATACATGATTTGGAGTCATGGTTCATATTTAAACCGTACTAAATTACCATTCTATTTGCTTATGTAATATTAGTCTTGTCATAGAGCGTAAACACAGCATTTTATAAACACAATTCAGTGTAAGTCATTCAATTTGCATAGTGAACATTTCTTGATTCCATCTGATGATGGTGAATGGATCAAATTCTATTTTCCGGATAAATAATTTGCGTGTAACATCGTTAAACGTGTACCATCATCATGATTTTTCTTTTTGTTTCGGTGCCGAAACTATTCCGGGAAAAAAAATGAGGTTAAGGCATGTTTTTTCACTCGGTGAATATATTTTTGTTATATATAGTTGTGTTTAGGACACATTGTTCATAGGACACATCTGCATAGCAATGTTCATTAAAACTTTGCAGATAAAGTTTTGAGATGTTTTTGCTCTGCCAAACCAAGTGCAAATATTTACCTTTTTGAAATTTGACGAGTATTTAGAGTTGGTGGTTTGAGTCATCCGGCTGTTGTCAAGAACGCCATTGAGTTGTCATTTCTCAAGATGTAATTGCTAATAAGTGAACAAAATGCGGAATGTGTGACTTTAATATACCCGTAATTTACATTTTAATGACACAGTAAAGACGATGACAACGAACGACAGCAAAAAATCATCCAAATAATTGCAGATAGATCCGAAACATTATTATGACTTTAATAGTAATAAAATGCGTGAGTTGCCACTAAAACGAAATGGAAAACTGGTAAATTTAGCCAAATTGAGGCCACATACATACATGGCACACATACAATCCATAAGAATTTAAGCTGAAACCATAAAAACCTGTTGAATAATATGATTCAAAAGAGATGTTGACACGACTTGTGCATTATACATGTCCTAAAAAGCACGCATCTATTTTCTTGTCTTATTCTCGTTCATTTAATGTTCTGTGGCATTTTATGGGCAATGACATGAGACGAAAAGTCATATATTTCACATACGGTCGCATCGCATCATCGCAAATAATTTAGAAGCGAATTTATTCAAAAATGTTCGACCAAACGTGCTTATTGCTATTAGCTAATAATTCCGGAGCGCAAAAAAAGGTTTTAATTTTAAAATAAAAATAAATATGAACTTACCGATCCGTTTAAAGTTTTGCTAGTTGATACACGACGCTGAAAAATTCGCGCCGGTTCTGTTTCATTTTCGCTTTCGGACGACTCGTCAACGGTTGCAGCAGCAATTATCGCCTGTGTTACATCTCTCGGTAATGGTGATGGTGTTCGCGATGACGACAAGCCAATTGATGGTATTGATAATGGTGATTTACTGGCCATTATATTTTTTAGTATCTACGTATAAATTTATTTCGTTAATTCAATTCTTTTCTTCTATCACTTTTCTTTATTATATTGTATTCTGTGGTTCTTTCTTCTATTTTCGTCTTCGTCTTTCGAATTGCTTCACACAAATTTGATCACTCCTTTTACTTGGCCAACATATCTCGACGGTGGTTTTATTTTTGGCTAATACATGCACTTCATAAATCTTGTATGTCCTTTTCTTGCTACATATTCGGTAATCATCTAGCTAAGCTCCCTAGCTAAAACAATTCGAAAGAAATTTGCACTCTCACAAAGCATTCGAATGGCCTCATAAATTCAATTATATATCGTTGCTATTCTACACGTAATGCAATATACAAGGATTAATTCGTTTGCCTTATACATAATTTGTACAATTTTATCGAATAATATCGAAACCGGGTATGAAGCGCGTAACACCAACAATTGACCCAAAATGTATAAATTCCGAGATAGAGAGAGATATAGAGCGATATTCACACTCATTTGCTTAGTGTTGTTTAAGAATAAAATGAAACATAAAAACACTAATCGTTCACCGGCTATGAAAATTTGATTATTGTTTATTTTCTGATTGAAATATGAAACTAATTCCAATATTTTAGTCTATGGCAATGTTCTTCTTGTTCGCGCTTCACTCACACACTAATTCATATGTTTATCATCCAGTTGATGTACACGATTATGTATTATTATTATTCGATTGCGTGCTAATGCCTTTCGGTTACACAGTTCGATAAAATATAAACCACAAAATTCAGTCATATTTTTGTGACCTTTGAAACCGAACTCAATTCGTTATATGTAATGATTATTATGTTTTATTTTCAATTACACTCTAAATAGTTTCATGTCAAGGATATTGTGTTTTAATGTATATAACATCCAGTGAAATATTTTGTCGGTATTATGTTCATCAAGCAGCGAAGCGAATGATAAAATAAAGTTATTAAATAATATGCCTTTGGCGAAGTTTAACTTTGACAAAGTGCTGGTAAATGTCAAGCATATCCATTGAAATGAAGAGCAACACTTTTATTTATATATGAACACATCCAATTTTAAAATTGATAAGACAATCGCTATGAGTCACTCTCGATTCGATGAAGATGACACGAAGACAACTTTTTTTTCGCTGTTGTCATTGAATGATCTTTAAACTAAAAACAAATATGCATTCGAAATTCGTTTGTCAAAACAGTGGTATTTCAAATTAAATTAAAAGCTTCTTCGTATCTTCTCGGAGCCGTTCTTTCATTGGCGGTGCTCGGGGATTATTATTTATGCTCGATTGCATATTCATGGTAGCAGTATAATTGTATGCGATTTAACAATGAATCCGACAAAATATGATTGTATGTGTGTGTCATCTCAATCAAATGAAAACTCCTTCAAGTCAATTTTGCGTTAGTATTCCATCCGTTCTTGCATTTCAATTTTGTGTATACATTCCGGATCCAATTTAAATTGGATAGAGATTCAGCAATCTGATTAGTTATTGTTTGGTTTGTTGATTTTGCAACAAAAACTCTTTGGATGGTTGCAATAAAATAGAAGACAATTTCCGTTTTGTGTTATTCCAAAAATGTTCGTTGTTGAATAGATCGTTCTTCGATTGAATTGAAGCTAATGGAAATCATTCATGGTTTTTCTTTCGTATGAGCATTCTATTCTCTTCTGTTTTCTTCTCCCCACTGATGTTTCGGGAACTTTTGTAAAAGTTTATTATACATTTTGATATTGATGCATTAATGAAATTTCCATATTACTTGTTTGGCGTATACGTTCTGTGAAATATTTTTTTTGCATACATATTCAGTGAACTGTTCATACATTCGGATTTTTGAGATTATGCAGCCCCGTAGCTAAATCAATTTCGTATATCCATTAACTACTCAAATACGGAGAATTCGATTATGTTCTTGTTGATTTTGTGGTCGATTTTTTTTCTTTTCTTTTCCACGATTCAATCGACGAAATTAAATTATTAGGCATATGGTGAATTTTGATTTGGGTTTGATTTTATTCGATGATTTCTTTTACTTTTTTATTCAAGAAAAAAAAAACCTTTACCTAATCGTTAGAACCAAAGAAAAGTATTACCAATTTCATAACGAATTTATTAATAAACTATTTATTTATGAAAAAAACGTTAAATATGAGACAAATGGGTTTGCTGAGCAATAAAGACGCAAGAGCACACAAATATAGAGAGTAATTTATTTGATGATTATTATTATAGCTTTTATAGCCACTTTTAATTAGAGTTTCTATCACGAGAAAAATGTTTTTAATTTAGCGTGAAAATCGTTCGAACACAAAATATCCTAACGGAGTGACACTCGTTTAGTTTACTAATTAAAATCGATAGAAAAATGTGCGGATGAATTAGTTTTGAGTTTCTTGGAAATCACAATTGTGTGTAAAATGTAAATAAATGCGCGAATAGTGAGAACATAATACACTTGTAAAATGTGAAGCTTTCAACCGTTTCACACGTTGCCTTTTTTTTAATCTCCGACTCTCTCACACTCACTCTGTGGCACTTGAAAAAGTTGTTGTTCGGCACTTGTAAAAAACGCTTCAGAACTCAACTACACAAAAAGCAAATTTACAACACTTTATAACTACACTTTATAAGATTAATTAAGTTGATGTGACTTTTTATTTTTCATATAGCGCTTTGATTTAGCATCATATTTAGTTTTGTGTGAATGCTTTTCTTTCTCTCTCTCTTTGTGTGCGTGTGCGTGCATTGAATTATCATTCAAAAATAAAACGAACGAATGAAACAAACGAAACAATAAATGAAGGCTGTATTACTGTAATTTCTACAGTCTTAGTCTTTGCTGTTGAAATTGTTTGAATAAATTCGTCTGAATAATCGTCGTCGCCATGTTTGTTCGCCGTTATTCCGTTTTCAGTACACATTACACACTGACGTACATATGAAAATAACAAGTTGAGGAGACCACAGTTTCAGAAATGAATTTTTCATGCTTGCCGTCGACGGCACGACGATGCGATCAACGTCCACCATACACACGCATACACTTCACTCGTTTAAAGATATCTCGTTCCTATTCACGCTTTCATCCGATTTTCCCTCCTTGTTCCACCCCGAAATTTTCTTTCCCGAAAAACTAAATGAAATACGCAAACCGTATATTCGACAACTTACACAGTGTGTAATACACACACCACCACCATTCGAAACATTTGGTATGTAGTACAGCACACACACACATATACATGTGACACGCTGTGTACTGGTATGAAGAAGACATGCACAGAACGATTGCTGAAAATTTTCTTTATCCACAAAGAAACATGTCTGTGTTTTTTTTTTGTTTTCGCATACCTAAAAACATAGCGGCTTCACGACGCAACGCTGATATTTTCACTATTTCTGTCGAATTTTCTCTGTTTGTTTCTACATTGACGTTCACGCGATCCAAACACGTGAATGCTTTTATGCAATTGCTTTCAGCCGAAGTCAAGAACATTGAACGAATTGAGTCGCAAACAGAATACGAAATGACGGCGATACGCAAGCATAAAACGATACAATAAATATCAATCGCTCTGACAGTATGTCTTGCTCGAGAATTTTCTTTCGGGCGGCATATTTCAGGCATTACTCGTACAGTATTCAATCAACTACGTTCGCATCGCACGCAATCGTTTTTGCGTAAACATTTTCCATTTTACATTGTATACACGGTACACGCTATGAATCCGAATCGAATGTACAATTTATTCTTGCATCGATGTTACGTATTTTTCAACATAAAATTAATTCAATAGATGGAAAATATGCATAAATCCAGTCAAAACCAAACACAGGATAAATGTTTATTGGAACATAGGATCAACATAAGAGAATGCATACAATCGTCATTACTCCTTGTTTCACATCCGTTGTACACGTGTAGAGAACTAAAAATTGTTCACATTTGTTTTTGTTCTCAATCCATCTGACGGAGTGATTTGCGATAAGCTTTGTATTTAGATTAGTCCATTTACATATGGACCTTATTTCATCGGTGTCTTTTTTTTATCCCTTTCAAATATCATACATTTCTATTGATGCGGCAAATTTAAAGGCAAATTACCGATACTGATAAATTGGAGCACATTTATTTTGTACACAAAAACAAACTACAAAATGAACTGAATTTCTCCGAATTTTCCGTTAGCCTGTTTTTATTGTGAATGATTTTTTTCTGGTGTGAGTGGATCGGCTCAAATATGATTCGGACTGATAATTGATAGGTTCGTCTTTGCCATAAATAAAATTAATGCATTCGAATATATACTACTCTTTTTCAGTAAGATGAAACGAAGTAATAAGATAAAATTAAATAAATTTTTACAAATAATGACACGTGTCGGAGTTTCGATTTCGCTTTGGTTTTTCTTTAAATGTAGAAATTATCTCCGTTTTCACGCCACAATATCACATTTATTTGGATGATTCTGAAACCTTCTTCTTTTTTGTTAAAAAAAAACAATTGGTTTTCATCATAAAAGAGTTTTATTTTAATGATAACAATCATAATTTAACAAACAAAAAAACAAATTCTTGAAATTTTCAATGAAAGACATTTGTTTTAGTGATGTTTTGTACTGCAAGAACATCGGCTGGCATTTTATGGTGCTTGTCTTTCATAAACCCAACCATTTTCCCCATTATGAACAAGATGTTTATCATCGTCTGGTTTTGGCAATCGAAATATGATTCTATCGTGTAAACGATTTGTTTGTCCTTGCCAGAATTCAAATAAGTTGGGCCGAATAATGTATCCGCCCCTATTAATATGAAAAATTCAACAATTTCAATGAAGCATTTTTGATTTCGTTGAAGAATCGAAATTTATTATAAGTACCAATTTGGCAATGGAACAACACCGTCTGGCCCGAGTTTCTCTTTAAGTTCACTCTCAATTTTATCTAAATAATCTCTGCTTGGAATCGGTTGACTTTGTGGGCTGTTTGAACAAATAAAAGGCAATTAGCGATTAATTCTAATTGGAAAACATGATTTTTAGATCATAAATTAGAATTTTTAAAACTAATCAGACAAAGAAATGGATGATAGTTTATACCTGGCCGCGGCACCAATCTAAAAATGGACAGAAATTTGTTTATTTAATAGTGTTTAAAATAAAAATTAAATAAAATAATTTACTTGACTAGCTCGTGGGCGTTGATGAAAGTATTCTTCAGACACTTCTCGAGACACCTTTGATGCAATGCCCTCGATACGCACTTGCCGTCTCAATGGCAACCAATAAAATGTAGCCGCAACATTTTTATTTGATTCCTACATATAAAGCATTCAAATTTGGGATTAAAAAAACATTTGGTACTTTGTCAAAGTCAATGATTCAAAATTAACAAAGAAATATCGTTACATACAATTTCTTGAGCTTTGCGACTTCCATAATTTGTGAAAAATGTTATGCCATCGGCCTCGACACCTTTCATCAAAACGAATCGCGCAGATGGAAGACCATCTCTGAAAAATGACATATAATAAGTAGTTAGTGCACCAAAGACAATGTAAATGGATTGATTGAAACTGTTGACAAGCAAACAAACTTACTTCGAAACTGTTGACAAGCAAAATGCGTTTGGTTCGAGAATTTCAGGCGTTTCACATGCTTCGGCCAGCCATGATTTAAACAAGTGGAATGGTTCTTTCACAGAAATATTTTCTTCCAAAAATTTGTCTTTTTCACTACGATATTTTAGTCGAAGTGCTGCACAAACAAAGTAATAGTGAGGTTATCGATTTGTACAGTAACAATAACAATAACAATCTAGATTTACTTACAGGTCAAATCAACAGTTGCCATCTTTCTGATTGTCGATTGAATGAACCTCATAATTTATAAACGAAAAAAAGCAGCTCGTAAGAAAATCTTATCATGGAATTAAGCAATTTATTGATGTCAAATAAATAAATGAAAATAATAGACTGATCAAATATAGAAAATAATGCATCAAAAAAGATATTTTACCTTGAAGTACTTGTCGAATGTGTAGATAATTTCACTTTTTCACATCAGTTGATGTTTACTAGATGAAGAAAGCGATAAAATAATCCAACAACAATTTATTTTTACGAAAATAATCACTGATGTGGTTTTTCAGTGATAAACAAATTAAATCCAGCGGTTGACAGTTCAAAAGTGAGTGCGTTCAATGTGCCATGAGTAAGCGTTCATTCAATGTGTTTTTTGCTTCGTTCGTATTTGTTATTTTCCTCTTCTCTGTTTCTTTCTCTCTCTCTTTCTCTCGCTCTATCATTCGTTCTAGTTCATTGTGTCGTCACCGCTTCATTTCTACGAAGCGTAACAAAGATATATGTTGCGGAGAAGAAAAAAAAAGACTAAAATGGAGAAATAAACTCGTAAACAACCAATTATCGTACGAAATAATTGATTTTAAGCTGTAAAAGTGGATCTCATATTAGAATTTCGCATGAGAAACACAATATTGTTGATCAAACATTTTAAAATTGTGAAATGAAAATAAAAAAATCGTGAATCGACAAATGTTGTATATTTTGAGCCAAAGTGAATAAGATTACGCGCTAATACAAGTGCTGTGTAGAAAGAGTGAAAGAGAGAGAGAGAGTGAGTGAAAATCACCTAGCTAAGCAGAATTGTTTGTGCATATTTTAAAAGGCGCACTTCCATTTTTAATTGTGATTTTATTTTAATACAGTGCAGAGTGTATAATAGCGTTGAGTTTGTCATTAGTTATTTCAATATATGAATTCAAAAGGTTATAAATTGTAAATTGGAAAGAAAGAATCGAAAAGTAAAATTCAATATGGAACATAGTTATTCAAAAGACGTACACCCAAAAGGAAACGTTGAAGTAATGGCTACACGATCAATTCTTATTCCACGTCCACCACAATGCCCATCATGCTACCAACACACAACCAACGATGATATTTTAGCAGTAAGAAAATTACATTTCGCCTACTTAATACGAGTAAATCGTAAAAACACCTGTAAAATGTCTTCTTTTAGAAAATGGAAAATCATCAATCGGATCCGTATTTTGATCAACTCCCGCCGGCTATCAACGATAACATTGCAAAAATGGCAATGGAAGAAACCGAACGACTAACAAAAAATGTGAAAAATACCAATGCTGACGACGACGATTGGGATTTAAAAGTGAACAAGTGAGTGAATTGCGATTTTTTTTTATCTTCAATTTTTAGTGTTAACTAATTTCAATGGATAAATTTTTGAATTAATTAGAATTGGATGGTCAAAGCAACAGTTACAATTGTATCGTCAAGTCTCAAGTATTCTGGATTATGATCAATTGTCAAGATTGGCGGTGAGCGGACGACCAAATGAAGGCATTATTCGGCGATGCAGCATAGACAAATCAGTGGCACGAATGCGTTTGGTACTTGCATCCGTTCATTGGAATACAGATTTAACACAATGGCTGAATTTAATTATGTTTACCTACCTACCGCCAACTTATATGGCATCATATTTGGATATTTTGCAATCGTTAAGAGTGAAAGTGCCGACACTTGTGGATAAAATGTTAGCCGGTCGACCGGCATCATTCAATCAAGACTATTTACAAGCGATTACGAAACGACCTTGGGGCGCAAATGTACCGACAAAATCACGAAAATTACCCGGCCAATCACCGATTATTGTCATAATTCCGGCAACATTAAACAGCACCACACAACAACCATCACCACGAATGAAACGTTGGTTTTCACTTTTGGGAACAATGGCAAGCACGGCACCAATTCAACACCCAGTACGGCCATCACAGTCTTTAGAGAGTATTACCGAACAATTAATAGCAATAACACGTTCAAAAATTCAAGATTTACGCAACGAAATGCCGAATCGCCACATCATCTTGGTTGGCATTAATACCGGCGCTGCGATTGCATTGCAAGTCGCTCTCGTTGAAAATGTATCGTCGATTGTATGCATGGGTTTTGCCTATAATACGGTGAAAGGTCAACGTGGAGCACCAGACGATAAAATTCTTGAGATTACAACGCCTGTTCTATTCATTTTGGGTGAAAATTCGGCGAGGTCGAGGTAAGTGTGCGATAGATAGAGTCTGTGCTCAGTCAAAACTTTTTTTAAAAATTATGTAATTTTCTTTTAGTCAAGAGGAGATCGAGTCATTGCGTGAAAAAATGTCAGCTCAAACATCGTTAGTTGTTGTTGGATCAGCAGACGATGCGCTTCGGATCAATAAGTTTAATCGGCATTTGGAAGGCGTTACTCAATCGATGGTCGACAATATGATTGCCGTAAGCATATTTCAACATTTAAAAACAACGATTATTATTTAATCGGTCTGTGATATTTATTTTAATACTGGCAACTGTATATTTTAGGATGAAATTCAAGATTTTGTGTCAACGTGCATCATAAATCCACCCGGTCCACGTAAGATTATAAATCATTTGCTTAAACGATCGATTGGAACGTCGTCGACGAAAAAGCATGATTCTACAAAGAAACGTAAACACAAAATCAACAATAAGGCTGACAAAGGTCCACCGCGTAAGGGTAAGCAATTGACCATCAAAACCATCAACAATTTTCCTCGTAATTTTATCGCATTCGTTTTAAACGACTGTTTTTTTTTATTCCTTTAGTGGGCCGTCCTCGTTTGATTCGAGCAAATGAAATCCCATCAGAAAAACCAAAATCATCGCAGGCTCTTTTGAAACAAAGCAATGAAAACCTTAAGATGAACGTTCAAAATATTGTTCCTACAAATGAAGTGCCTACGATATTGAACAATGAAGTTGTAACCGTTGCCACGAGTAGTGAACCATCAACAAATAAAACTATTGCTACCGCTCCTAACGCGATTGCTTCACCTATACTCGACAATGGTATTAATTTGAATGTTAGCAACACTCAGGAGGTGACAACGAGTGAAAACAGCCAAAGTACGGACGTTAAAATTTCTTTAGCAAGTGTTGTATTGCCCACATCCACCGTATCTACAATTACGCCATCTACACCACCAAAGGTCATTCAACCGACCATACAACCGGTCGGCCAATTTGTTCAGGTGAAACCGCCGACAACCACATCAGGCCGTGTTCAGTCACCGAATGTCAAGAATTTCTTTATTCGTAAGGGCATTGAAAAGCAGCCACAAAATCAAATTGTTACATCTTCAGCTGGCACATACATAACGTCAGCAGTCACATCGCCCCAAATGTCCATCAATCCATTGCCGTCAAATAAAAAAATTATTATAAAAAGTCAACAAATAATTGTACCAGCCCACAATGCAAAACCAAATCCATCTGCTCAAATCATTCAAGTGTCCGGTCAATCGCAAGCATTACAAACAAACCTTCCCACTTCACACGTATCAATTCCAATAAATGCAAATGTCCTTGAAACATCCGCATCTTCGTCGGGCGATTTATCCGGAATTCTTGATTTACCAATTCTATTTGCAGACAATAATGATACGCCGGTAATTGATCAAACCGCACAAATTCTCAACACATCTAGTGGTTCATCGTCAAACATTTTATTGAACACATCGACTGATCGAACGGCATCGATGTCATCGCCACAAAATATTTTCATTACGACCGCTGACGGTAAATCTGTCATACCAAATAGGCCACTGGTTATAACGACAGCTAAAGTATCAAAACCAACGCTACAATCAACTGTTGCCACAGCTCCATCGACCAATAAAGTGATTTTCATCAATCGTGGTCTAAAACAACAAATCGTCGGGTCTCAATCAATGCCAATTGGTGTCAAAGGACTACAAACCCTCAAACTAGTTCCAACTTCAATGGGAACATCAACGCAATCAACATCAATTACATTGCAAGGCAATCAAATCACAAAGCTACCGGGCAATAAAATCAATTTATCCACATTGAAATTGGTGAAAAATCCGTCAAACGTCACCGGTAACATTGTCAAACCGTTGATACTAAACAAGGCAGTGTCCGGAGCGAACAATATTGTTATTAAATCACCAATGGGTGGAAATGTCAAAACGCATCCTGCCGTCATTAAGGCAAATGTGCTCAATCGAAATATTACCGTAAAGAAAGTGATGAATGTGATTCCAGGTGTTAAGCCCATTTCAAGTCCGCCGCCAATTTCAACAATTACAAGCTCACCGGTTACAATTTCATCAGTCGCTACTTCACCAATTGTCACTTTACCAATTGCAAGTTCGCCGATTGCAAGTTCGCCGATTGCAAGTTCGCCGATTACAAGTTCACCGATTGCCAGTTCACCGATTGCAACCTCTTCAATTGCCGCAGTATCATCCATCAATTCATCACCTACCGCACAATCGAATACGGGCACAGTTTCTTTTGTGCATACATCTCTCGTGGTCACACCATCGACGTCAACAACAAAAACTACAACTAGGAAAACAAGGAGTTCTAGTTGAATTCTTCTGATCATTCGTACATCGAAAATCGCTTGGTTCTTTTCATCGGTGAACATTTCATTTAAACATTATGATTTTATTGATTGTATATTATCATAGCCATTTCTTGGCTATTTATAATTCTGAAGGTTTTTTTACTTATAAAAATTTAAATGTAGTCATTCAGTTGCAAGAAGGAAGTTAACATAAATAAAATAAAACAAATCAATCGATGGTTTAATCTGCACATAATCTGTATTTCTTTTTATTGAATTTGACGCCGAATTTTAATGGTCATGCTTTTATTTTTATTTTATTCGAATGTTTTGATATAAACATAGTAATTTATGTTTGAAACATATAAATAAATGCCATGGAAATATTTTATTTCATATTTTCTGTATTAATATCTGCATTTTTTTGTTAATGTTATCTCTTCTTAAATCGAATAATCTAATACACAAATATTAACTTAAAATGTATGTCAACCTCTTTAAATGCAGATTGGTTAAAAAAAAATTGTACGATATTTCGTTATTGTTAAACAACATCAACTCATAGATTTAGCATTTTCATTTTTACTAAAGAAAGTGTTGCTTCTTTTAAATTGTTTGAAATGTTCATTTCCTCTAGAACATGCTCTAGAATATCGATTATTGTGACTTAAGACAATTCAAAAAATTAGAGTATATGCTAAATGAAATAATAAAGAATGATGAAGTTAATTCCATATGTACTACAGAAGGAATATTTATGTCTATTATGATGAATGTATTGTGGCCGCTAGTTGCTCTCTCCTTGTTTTTCTCATAATCCGTATCGTTGCTTCTGTCTAGCAGAATTTCCAACGATTTCCGCACTCATTACACATAACGAACGTTGTCATCGGTTCATCAGCACTTCTCGTCTGAATTTGATTGTAGGTACAATTTCGTTTCTTGCATTTCCCACACTTGAGTAGATCTGTTTTCGTTCCCTGCACCGTGGCCAGTTGGGCATCATTGATGGCTTCCTTAACGAATTTTTCTCGTATCTTTCTCATTTCATCACTTGCCATTTCTTCCGGTGTCATTTTGGCAAGTTTTTGTGCTGTCAACGCGCCATTTATGAAATTGGTTCGAAGTGCTGGATTTTTTACATCTTTTAAATTTGCCATGCGCGACCGAACTCGATTTTTGTACCTCGACTCTGTGTTATTGAACTCTGCGTAGATACAATCCTCAAGCTCTTCGGCCAATTCTTCGGCAGTCGGACATCCTTCCGGAGTCGGTCCATCTACTTTAATTGCATTGGCCAGCATTTCTCGACATTTCAACCGGACCGCATCTGTCATGGTGCTTGATGCTGCTGGGAAGCTTGTTTGTTTTATCGTTGAAGTGCTTCCACCGCCAGTGCCACTACCACCGCGATCCTTTTCACGTTCATCCTTTTTTGCTTCGGGTTTTTTGCTCGAACCGTTTGTTGATTTTGAACTTGATTTTGGTGTATTGTTTGATGACGACGTTGATGATTCTTTGGTCGATGCTAATGTTAAACATTTTTTCCAATTTTTTATCAATGTTTTGGCCAATGCAATCACCTCATCGTCCTTGCTGCATTTTCGTAAATCATTCACTGTCATACCAATCCGTGTTGTGGTCAAAATATTTAAATCGATGTCCAATTTTTGTAGTACTTTCAATAAATCCAATGCTTGTCCCTGCCCTGATCCATCTGGCGAACTCATTTTCTCCAATTTTTTCTGGATATCCATCACTTCGGTTTCAACGCTCATTTTGGTAAAATACACTTTTCTACTTTGTTTGACACAAATTTTATCGCTTTTTAACTTTGATCAACGTTGAATTGTACTCCGTTAAAAATGTGGCGCTAAAAACTTAGATGCCAATTACAAAAATGGCTCGTTAAACGAGAGAGCGAACGAAAAAATACATAAAATTTGTCGAATACACGGTGAAACAACAACAACGACTCAATACAAGTTTTCGTTTGTTATTGATAGAAGCATTAGGCGGACGCCATGTTACACACAATATACATGTGGCGACATCTCGAATACCGCCAATTTAATCAATAAATTTCAGATGATGGTGAAATCTTGAAATTTATATAGAAAAATACTTTATTCCATCTCTAAATGCGATAATATTGTTTAAAAAACATTTATTGTTATTTATTTCGCCGAAAATCAACAAAAAACTCCATTGTTTTGATTGTATTTCAACTGCTTTAAATGAATTGTTACTAAACTCACTCATCCACTGTGAGGCTGTCAAGTGAACGAATGATGTTCTTCTATTGAGGTTAGGTTTATTGTTTTGAGTTTGGACCTCAATGCGAATGAACTCATCGAGTTTTTTCATCATTGATTTATTCTGTTTCAAAACAAAATGTTTCAATTCGCATTGAATTCTACAAGAAGGGCATTGAGCGCTCCAATACAATTAGCACTCCGGTCAACGCAACGATTCTATGGTATGTCTTAAATTAAACTTTAATTTGAATTGTTCTTTCCAAGGGACTCTGATTTGAAATTTATCTCTCTCTGTTATTTAGTCTCGGCTCCGAAGAGATTTTATAAAAACGCTGGCGTTCTCAGCTGTGATGGTAAATATGAAATCACATTGGATAATAAAAAACTGAAGACACCAAGTGGCAGCGTATTTCAAGTTACGAATGAACCTTTGGCTATTGCAAGTATGTTTACTTTAATTCATTTTTAAAATTGTGCGAACATTGTGCGAACATTGTATGTAAATTTTCAGTTGCTGCTGAATGGGATTCTCAAAAGGAGGTTATCGATCGTTCGAAAATGCATTTGGTGGGAAATTTGCCATATTCTCGCAACTCAAAAAACAAATTAAAATGTCTAATCTATTTAAATGTCTTTAATACAGACCACATTATGCAATACTGCCGCAGACAATCCGAACAAATTGATGAAACAAGATATTGTCAACTATATGTTAAACTACATACCCACGGACACCATTCTTTATCATTCACCCGTTAGTTGATTGCTTTTCACTGTCCTTAAGACATTTTTAAAGTGCAATGTTTTTTTTTAGGATATTGAAGATTTGTATAAATTGCAATGCGCCGAATGGGATCCAATCATTGAATGGTTCAATGAACGTTACGATGCTGATATTGCAAAAAGTTGTGACATCACACAGCCAAAAATTAGTTCAAAAACCAGAATGAATATAAGCAAACATTTGCTTTCTTATAATGATGCTACGATGCATGGATTCCTCTATGCAGTCGACACATTGAAGTCGATTATTTTAACATTGGCTTGTGTGGATAAACGAATATCTGTGGAAAAGGCGGTCGAATTATCGAGACTCGAAGAGGAATATCAATTGAAATTCTGGGGACGTGTTGAATGGGCTCATGATTTGGGCCAACAAGATACACAAGCCCGTTTAGCCGCTTCGATTCTTTTCATTCATTTTCATTCGAATGAACATATAATCAAACAAAAAATACCTGCTGAATAAATAAAAATGTGTTCCCTGTTGTAAAATAAAATTGTATAATTCATATTAGGAAAATAAAACAATTGCTGTTTCATTCCGAACCGCTGGTTGAAAAGTAACACAAAAAACTGCTTGAAAAATCAGTTCACGTGTATTGGTGCGTGTGTGTGTGTATGCTTTGTCAGTGATGTGTGATGAAAAAACCTCATGCTGTCATTTGACATTTCAGTCGCACCAAACATGTCAAACTCTAAAAGCACATGAATAAAGTGTGCTACGAAATTTATTTTGTATTAATATTTTCAATTATATTTTCGACATAAAATTAGCATTTGTAGTAAAAATCGAAATGGCAGAAAAAAATTCATCGAAAATTGAAGACAGTGACAAATGTGATGGGTCGAGTCATAGCGAAGCAACTACCTCTACACATCAAATCAAAGATGTGCCCGTCGAACAATTCACAAAAGTAAGAAATTTTTATCAGGTTTTTTTTGGAATTTTTATTTTGATCGTATAGCGGATCAGTTACTAATAATAATTGTATGTTTTATTTTTTCCAAGAATGGAATGGCACTCATAGTTGAAGCAACGAAATGTACTAATGCATTTCCATCGAATGCATCACGAAATCTTTATTCAGCGTATCCAGCATTCAATAAAGCCGTTCAACGACATTCAGATCACATTTTATCGATGATCTCAAAAGTGGTGAAACTTCAACACATCAAAGGAAACATACAACGGTAACTAAATTGTGCTTCAATTGGAGTAATTTTTGTTTAATGAATCTCGTTTGTATGTAGACGTGACAATGACGAAAAAATGGAACTGTTGCAAGAATGTAACGATGTAATGCTCGAGCGAATCAATTCAAACCTGGATAGCATATCTGGAATTCGTAAAAATATCGAACCGATACTGGTTGAAACCGAAATTAGTACAACACCATCAACGCCAAAACAAAACGTAGGAGCTGGAAGTGGCGGCAGTTGGAATGAACGCAAAACACCTGGTTCAGCACAAGGAATTCATGCCAAGTAAACTAAATATTGAATCCACTATTCTCAACTGAATATAAATGATTTTCTTTCTTCTTCTTAGATTGTTGACAGCCCGAAATATCATTCGGCCGCAAATTAATTTCAAAACACCGGTTGATAATAGTGCCAATACACCATTCATACCACAACTCAAGTATAAGCCACATTCGATGAAACCGTTGGCAATTTTACCGGAATATGATGATATTGGGAACATTGAGAGTTACTTGCATCCGTATGAATTTGAACTGAGTAAATTCACGCCAAATGAATGGCAACTCACAAAAGGAAGTGTAACCAAACCGAAAGAATTGTCCGAAACCACATTGATGTATGTCGATAAAGAGAATGATTTGAATGTCATGTTAAAAGAACTGGAAGAGGCTAAAGAAATAGCAATTGATGTTGAACACCATTCGTATCGAACATTTCAAGGCATTACATGTTTATTGCAGTTATCAACACGCACAAAAGATTATATCGTTGATACGTTAGCATTGCGTGACGAGCTTCACATTCTCAACGAAGTGACGGCCAATCCGAAGATTGTTAAAGTGTTTCATGGTGCTGACAGTGATATCGAGTGGCTACAACGTGATCTATCGATTTATGTCGTGAATATGTTTGATACACATCAAGCATCGAAGCGTCTTAAGTTCGCTCGATTGTCGCTCGCCTTTTTACTCAAACATTATTGCCAAATCGAAGCCGATAAATCACTTCAATTGGCCGACTGGAGAATGAGACCCCTACCAGCTGAACTCATATCGTATGCACAACAAGATACACATTATTTGCTATACATATATGATATGCTTCGAAATGAATTGATTGCCGAGGCACATGGTAAAACAAATCTTTTGTTGAATGTTTACAAAGTAAGCACCGATATATGTATGAAACGGTACATAAAAGTAACAATAAAACCCGATTCACACATGGACATGTATCGAAAATCGAAGCGAATTTTTGACAATCGCCAATTTTATGCGCTGAAAGAACTGTTCAAGTGGCGTGATTCAATTGCACGAAGCGAAGATGAAAGCTATGCATATGTTCTTCCAAATCACATGATGTTACAAATTGCCGAAAATTTACCGAGAGAAATGCAAGGCATTTTGGCATGCTGTAATCCAATTCCGCCATTAGTTAGACAACATTTACACGTTTTACATCGTTTCATTTTGCAGGCCCGTGAACAGCCACTGACAAAGGTATGATTTTGATTAAAATTTATTTGGAATTCATTATTTATTTATTTGTTGTTAAATTAATTTGATTTATTTTCAGATTGTTCTCGATGATCAAGCAATTAATCGATCAACAATTTTAAGCAAAAATCAAGATGTAAACAGTCATTTGTATTGTCCACACGATTTGACGGGCAATACAGAGTTTCGAGACGATTTACCAACGTTGCTTGGTAATAAAAATACGATAAAAGTTTTGCCAGAGACGGTGCTCAGTAAACTAAAATTGAATGGACCATCCGTTAGCGCCTTTCATACGTCAAGTCGCATCGAAAAGAAAACAGTCAATGGCACACAAGTAAAATTCTTCAGTCCATATGCACGCTATTTGGCCGTGCTGCCATTTGCCGAAGAAGAACGATTGGCTGATTTGGCGAAAAAAGCCGAAGAAAATCGCAAACGTAAACTATGTCCGGATAGTATCATTGATGTGAGTATACAAACCATGAAAGAAAATGCAATTTATACAAGTTCATATTTGAAATTTAATTGTTGCCTTCATTAGACACCAAAGCCACAGAAGCCTATTGAAAATGCTGAGGACAGTGGATACCGTGGTTCATTGAGGGATTTCGATAAGAACACAACACAACCACCGGCGAAGAAACGACGAGTTGATACTCAATCCGATGATCCAATTGAAGCCAAACTTAATGCAATTCGCACCAATATAGATCAACAAGATCAGCAAAGCGGCACTAATGCAGACAATGCCAGCACAACGCCGAAGAAAAATAAAAAGAAAAACAAAAATAAAAACAAAACACCACAACAATCTTCAATGCAAAGCAAAAAACCAGATTTTGACTATTCGAACGTTGATTTCAAGGAGTTTGGCGGCGGTTCGATTGTTGAACAGAAAAACGAAATCAAAATGAAATTCCATGGAAAGGTTAGTTTTGAGAAAAAAAAATTCATTTAGTTTTCGAATGCAAAAAATAATTTTTGATTTTTTCTCATTCACAGGGCAAAAGTAATAAGGCAAACAAGCGATTCTTAAATATGCTGTCGAAAAATACAAGCAACAAAAAATAATAACGATATTTTTTTTAAATGGTCTATTAAATGAAGAAAACTTTATTAATTAAGTAATCTAGAAAAAGAAAAATAAATAAATGAGCAAATAAAAATTATTTTTTTTTTATTCATTTTAATTATCAATAAAATATAAACAAAAATTGGTTTGGGTGACAAAAATATTCCAATTCGATTAGATTCATTCAAGCAGTATCATTAGACGCACCCATTGCTTGCATTTCAGAGACAAATGTCAAACACTGCTCATTCGATGACAAATCAGTTCTGTATTGAAAGCGGAGTGAATAAACTCGTCTAAGTAAATCGAAACAAAAGATTCTTTTTTGAAATTCATAAAGTTGAGAATTTTGTATAAATTTGTTGAGTTCGAAAGTAAAAAAAATAAAAAATCGAGAAACATGGTGAAGATGAATATCACTTCAGCAGGTAAATTTATCTTATTAAATCGTGAAACAGAAAATGCGATTTATATGTATAATTTGCTGTGTCACTTTACCGTTGAGGTTAAGTGGAAATTAGATTTTTTGGATTGCGATCATTGACTCAAAATTGTATTGAATTTATTTTCTAGCCGGCATCATTGCCCTTTTGGATGAGCCAATGCCCGAATTGAAGATTTTCGCATTGCGTAAACTTGATAACATCGTCAATGAATTTTGGCCGGAAATCTCCGAATCCATTGAGAAAATGTAAGTTCGCTTCTTCTTCTTTCTTAATAAATTGGAAGAAGAACATTATCTTTCGCTATGTGAAAACATTGCCCTTTTTTTGTTCACATTGTTCAATTTTTTTTTTGTTCACTTTGATGAACACTTTTCATTTGCAGTGAAATGTTGCATGAGGATAAGGGATTTGCTCATAGCAATTTGGCAGGTTTGGTTGCATCGAAAGTCTTTTATCACTTGGGATCATTTGAGGATGCATTGACCTATGCCCTTGGAGCTGGTGATTTATTCGATGTGAATGCTCGTTCCGAATACGTTGAAACAATCATCGCAAAATGTATTGATTTTTATATTCAACAACGTGTGGCACTCATTGATTCGCAAGACGCAAAGCCAATCGATCAACGTCTTGAAGCCATTGTGAATCGCATGATTCAACGTTGTTTAGACGATGGACAATACCGTCAAGCTCTTGGTATTGCATTGGAAACCCGTCGTATGGATATTTTTGAGGCGGCCATTTCTCGGTCCGATGACATCAACGCAATGTTGGCCTACGCATTCCAAGTAACAATGAGTCTCATCCAAAACCGTTCATTCCGTAATACCGTCTTGCGGTGCTTGGTCAAATTGTATCGTGGATTGGCCGTGCCAGATTATGTGAACATGGTGCAATGCTTGATTTTCTTGGAAGATCCATTGGCAGTCGCCGAAATTCTTGATAAACTCACCACCAGCAACGATTTAGATGTTTTGATGGGCTATCAAATTGCATTTGATTTGTATGAATCGGCTACACAACAATTTTTGGGACAAGTTTTGCAAGCATTACGTTCAACCGCACCGATTCCATCAAAACTTTTATCGACCTATAAACCACAAGGTACAGAACCGGTTGAAGAGAAAAAAGAATCAACAGAGGAGGAGGAGAAAAAAGAAGGTGAAACCACCGAAACAAAAGTAGAAGAGCCGGTTGCTGAACCCGAACGAGATTTGGAGAGTTTGAGTGCATCCGAAAAAACGCACCAAGAAAACATCGAGAAACTTATTCAAATTTTGGCCGGAGAGATTTCAATCGATTTACAGTTGCAGTTTTTGATTCGCAGCAATCATGCCGATTTGCAAATTCTTCGTGCAACAAAAGAAGCCGTTCGAGTTTCAATCTGTCATACAGCAACTGTTATTGCTAACGCATTCATGCACAGTGGCACAACAAGCGATCAATTTTTACGCGATAATTTGGAGTGGCTGGCTCGTGCTACAAATTGGTAAGCAATGGCTTAAGAAATTATTGACAACGTATTGTTTAATTGACTTAAATTTACATTTTACAGGGCTAAACTGACTGCTACTGCATCGTTGGGTGTCATTCATCGTGGACATGAGAATGAATCGCTGGCACTTATGCAGAGCTATTTGCCAAAAGAGAGCGGACCAAGCAGTGGATACAGTGAAGGTGGCGGTTTGTATGCCCTTGGATTGATCCATGCCAATCATGGTGCCAACATTATCGAGTATTTGATGGCTCAGTTAAAAGAAGCTCAAAATGAGAATGTTCGTCATGGCGGTTGTCTTGGTTTGGGTCTTGCCGCCATGGGCACTCATCGTTCCGATATTTACGAACAATTGAAATTCAATTTGTACCAAGATGATGCCGTTACTGGAGAAGCAGCCGGAATTGCAATGGGTAATTTAAATGAGGAATCAATGAAAAAAGATCAAATGAACATTTATAAATGATTTTAAATTTTAAAGGTTCGGTTATGTTGGGTTCAAAGGCTGAAACCGCCATCAGCGACATGGTTTCGGTGAGTTATTTTCAAATTGACTATTATGATGATGATGAGGTTATTTGTGTGCTTTTGATGAAAGCTTATTTGGAACTTTGATTTAGATTTTACTTTAAGGTTAGCAGTAAACTTAATAGATTTTTTGGCACTTGAACACGGTACACCTCTATGAAAATAATTACATCGACTCATTTTATAAATAATCTTTTGGATATTTTTGACGAAATTTTCGACTCGAAAGTAACACGGTTTTTAAGTTTAAACTGTAAATACAATGTAATCTCTAATATAACATGAGTGTCTAAAAATTACGCAATATTCCTTTTAGTGTCGTTGCTCTGATTTTTAAATGAATGCAAAGAATCGTGTGCGGAATTAATTTCCGTATGTAGAATAACAAAGTTTTTCCAATAACAAAAATTCCACTTCAAGTTTTACCGGTTTATTTATCCCCGAGATATTTTTACTTGTTTGCGTGATTTACCTTTTTTTGCGTTTTAATATTGTCATAAGATTATCTCTCTCTCGTGAAACCGACGCACGTTGCACAATCGGAATAACGAGTAGCAAACTTGCATATTATAGTATAACAATTTTTTGTTTGTACTTTCAACAAGTTTTTGAGGAACCCAACGAATCATTTTGCATTGTTTTACTTGTGGAAAAGTTTTGATTTTTCACAATACTGCTTCTGTCAAATGTGTATGTGTTTGTAGCCATCATTTACATTTAAAATGAATTAAAACTTTCTTTCATGAAGTACAAAACCTCAGAGCTCGACGATCATGTTGCTGAAGATTCAATTTTGCATTGAAAGTAGAGGAGAACTAGAGTTTCTTTGTAATGAATATGGTGCACGTTTGAACCTGACATGTGACTTGCATAAAATTAAATTTCAATTTTTGGTCGCATATTTCAAGACACACCGAACTGGAATTGGGACAGATTTTTTTTTCTCTATCGTCGTTTTCATGTACAGAGAATATATAGTTAAACTCGAAAGGTGAATGGATTTAACAACATTTAAATCTCACCTCGATTAAATTCTGATTGCCACAATTGGCAAAATGGGTCAAATATCTCAATGAATATTTATTTGGAATTATCCGAGTGTGATCGCAAACAAAATGTGGAAAGCATCTGTTGACAGTGGATGCCTTTCGAAATAAAAGCTAACCTACCATACGAAATCACCACATATTTTGGGACACCAAGTATGAAATAGAGTATATCGTTATCAACGTTCTGTACACATAAGACTTTTTGGGGCATTAACTTTAATTCTCTTATCCAATTTACGAATGGAGTTTTTTCGCATGTGAATGCACGCCAGTTTCAATGTACACCACACAGGTAAACATTGATTCGGTACACTATCTCGGAATGATCCTATCTCTCTCTCCCTTTGTTTGTGAGTATGTGTGAAATAAGTTGAAGAATATCTGATTAAATATAGACGATTTCTCCATCTAGCCCTTTAGCATGTAAAGAACTTTCTCGATGGAAATACTCATTTTAGCTGCAAACATATTTTATTTAATAAAATAAACACATATATATTGTGCTGTTCATTGGCTCACTTAAAAAAATGTATCAAATTGACCAGGATGTCAAGTGTATTTTCATACAATATCATGTTTTATTTACTTTGCCTCACTCCTTTGTAACTGAATGTCATTCGAATTGAAAGTGATGCGACATTCACTATGGGGTTCCGTTTTTCTTCCTCTATCTCTGTATGTATACTTTTTCTATAGTACGTTGTTTACTCGATTCAGAGCAATTTTGTTTTGTGTTTTATGTTTTAATTTTCACAGTAAACACGTTAACGTTGAAACTTTTGTCATTGAAGTGATTGCTTTGGAGATGCGTCAGATTGCTCATAAGCAAAAGATTTTCTATATCACTGTCCAAACAAATTGTGAATGAGAAAATGCTTTCAAATTCAACCCCATTGCGTTTCACTTGAAATATAAACAAAAGCTTTCGCATGTAAAACAACATTCCGAAAGGAATTCCTGAGCAATTTAATGAAATTTTAGTTTGTATGCAGAGCAAAAAGTTTGAAAAAGTTCGCCTCAACTTTGATGAATTGCATAAATTTTTGAGTACTTTTGAATCCAACTGTCACATATAATTTAAAATATATAGAGAGAAATACGAATGAGCACCCACCCGTTGTTGAACTAGGCCAAATCATTTATTTGAAATTATCATCTTTCTTCCATCATTGCGAAACAAATTTCAAATGCATGAAACTTCGTTGTACAATTTTTTTTGCCCTCTTCAAACTGTAATACTGTAAATTTGCAAATCAGACGGAGGAGAGCGGGACAGCGATCGAAATAAAAGTTGAATACTTCAGCAATACCGGAAGGAAATTTAAAAATAGAGAAATGATCTTGAATCTACCGAGAGAATTTAAGTCGAATATTTTCCACTTGAAAAGGTTTGCTACTTTACATGTTGCAATTTTATATAAATGCCTTATATTTCTAAAAGATTTACACGATATTTTGACCAAGTAACTTTTCTCGTAACCGTTGTTGCGTACTTTTTCTTCATCACTTCACTCTATTTCATGCCCGTGCAAAATAAGTCAGGCGATTTTATGTGATGTTGGAAAGTAATAAGAGTGACAAATTCAAAGTATTGCATTTTACACGAGGAAAATTGAGTCGAAAATGGGCACCAACAAAACACCACTGTATTTCGTTTGTTGCTTTGTTTTCACATTTTCATTCACTTCTCTGGTGTATCCATTTTGTAATTGACACAATAGAGAATTCTGCTCACTGAACATGAATGCATAGATTTTTTGCGGTTGTATAACATGTGTTTCTTGAAATTTCATCAAGCATGAAACAAGTGTAAAACAGCATTTTCAATGATGTGCCAACGATGCGTTTACATTTTCTTTGAATAATCAGTTATCAAATGTAATGCATACAACAAGTTCGGTTACAATTACCAAAACTGATGTTGACATTGTGGCATTTCAATTAAGAGTGCATCACTTAATGTGGCTGATAAAGAAGAAATCAACTATATTTCCGGCTCAAAAATTTGGGTGTATAAAGAGCATTCTTTGATATATATAAGCTTTTGCATAATATATTTTCGCAATGCTTGCTGATAAAATACCATATATTATCATTCACATTGCAAGGCAACCAATATCAAACAATATCCCAGTAAATACGCCGAAACACCAAAAACACCCATTATTCATGCAGATATTGCAAAATATTCGTGGTACTGAGCTTCTTCTTTGCTAATGCGATAAATGCATATATTTATCGCATTAACATGTAATATTCAACAGATTTTCTCATATATTTTTGCCAGCAGATCAACGATTGTGGTGGTGGTGGTGGCTGCAGCAGCGGCAACGCCAAATTTGCAATGCGCGCGTTCATCTGTATAATAATTTGTAAATATTATATACATGCATGCAGACAGATTGCGTGGAATGCAGACATCACTTTATTAGACAGCATTAACATTTCTGCAAAAAAATATTGGATGCTTACAACAGATTCACATTCATCCGTATGTGTCCTATTATATTTTGTTCAGCGAGAAAAACACACGACGAAAAATACCAAAAGCTGTGTGGCCAGACAAAAAATACAAGCTGTGCACCCATCGAAATACAGATTGCCATTTTCGCATTACATTTAAATTAACCTCTTGAAAACAAATGAAACAAAAATTCCGGGAATGAAAGGAGCATTTCCTTGATATTGATGTAATTAACCTTGCTCCTGCGGCTCCCACCGTCTCAACAGTCTGTATTCGGTTGTGTTCTGTTATACATTTTGTAGCGGGTCAAAAGCTCCATTCTATTAGATTGAAACTTTTACCTGACTTTTCATACAAATGAGAAAGAGAAGGAACAGTGTGCGAAACAAGGAGAAAGTGAAAGAGAAAACGGAATGCTTTTAAAACTTTTAAATGAGATTTGTTGTTTTTCTGTCGATAACAATGCTTGTAAATTGAATTCATCTCATTACGTTGCTTACAAATAATTGTATATACAGCAAAATGCACAGTGCAATTGTGGTCTATTTCCATGCACACAATGTTTTTTTTTTCTTGCCGCAACGAAAACGTTATGATGCTTGAAAATGTTTGTGGTTCACCCATTCATCATTGCAGTGTTAGAATATTGTCAAAAGTTGAATTTAATTGGAAAAAGCCACTATTATAAAGCTCTCATGTTTCTATCTGTTTTGCAACCATAAAACCAAAAGCAAAAATAAAACCCATACCAAAACAAAAACGGAACAAACCGAAACCAAACAATAAAATCCCATGAAATGTTTATAAAATGTAAAACTTCTTCGTTTCCTATTCGGTTGGGCATATCGAGCACACATCCAGGTCAACTGTCATCATCAGTCGAGGTTGTTAATTTCATTTAACAAGTGGCAATGTTATGGATCCTCTTTTTTCACTTTTCCCTGTTAAAATAAAGGAATTCGGTTGTCTTTTTCTATTTTCGACATTCCGAATGGGGACTTTTCAAGTGGCGATGCTTTTGTCTATTTTCCAAACAAGAAAACCAATTCTATGAACAATTGGAATGAAAACAAAAATATGCTGTGTTCGCCACATAAAATATGCACTTTGGCAAGTAACTCGACGTTAATTTTCTAGAGAGCCGGTTTTATCAATTTTCCACTGGCCTGTTCGCATGAATTAACATAAAATGATAATAAAATATGCATTATGGCTACACTTACACAATTCAAAACTCATTCGAGAAAAATAAAACACTGGAAACAGTGTTTACCACACTTTAAAACACATGAAGTGGTAAGCCTTGTTGCACTTTTTGTTTATTTTTTTTTTTTTGCTTCAACTTTTCAACGCAAGTCTATATCATGGCATTTGCATTCGCCACCATTGAAAATATAAATATATATCAACATCCCGAGATTATTCCGGTTATATGACAAAAATATGATGAAAGTAATGGCAACAATAAAAAAGAGCGACAGATGGAATTACAATCATTTAAATATGAAAGATGATTTCAGGAGATGAATATGATGAAGATCTATTCAAAACGGCACATGCACTTACAATTATCATTCGATAGATGGGATGAGAATGTAATCTATTCGAATGTGCCACAAGCGAAACAATGCTAACAATATCACGAAACTAAAGCGAATACACGAAATGAAAGAAACATTGATGAAGAGAAATAAATATACGAAGCGGCATGTACAAACATTTCGGGAATGAGTTGAATTTGAAGAAAGCGGAACGGGAGCAATATAACAACAACAAAATTGAGAAGCATTTTGCAATATTTATGTGGGATTGTCAGTCATAATTTGCGCTTCGAAACACAGTGTTTATTTTTGTCCGACCCCAACATGCAAATGCTGACATTGACAGTTATACTCACAAAATTGGATGGTGGTTTGAATGCTCAATGCATCAACTGTTCGTGTGTTTTTTTTGTGTGTGTTCGATGCATGCACTGTCTGTTTTTTTTATATATATTTTTCGGTGTCTCATTTCTTTTGATGGAATGCAGCTTAATGAATGTTTGCTTTCAGTTGAAATGAAATGCCCCGAAATGGAAAATCCGAAACGAATTGTTATAAGGCCATCAGTTGAAATTGAATGGCGAATATTCAGGTTTATTTTTTTTTTAAATGTTGGTTACCGGATACCATAGTTTTTCCGTTTTTGTAATAAATATGTAGAGCAAAAAAATGAATGAAGAAAAGAGAAAGTGTAAAAGGTAACGATGAAAGAAATATATGTCAAAACAATGCAGAATGTGTTGCAGTGAAACTGCATCTTATTGAAAATGTGCCCGCGTCGTTTGTAGAGACTAAAGAGTAGCGTTGAACAATTAAAAACCGGTTTTAAGCAAGCATTCAAAATTATTTTCATCTAGAGCACACTAATTTTGGAAATTGTCTATTTTAATACCACTTTTCCGTTTGCCACTTGCTTTTGGTTAATTCTTTGTTTATTTATTTTCAGTATGCACAAGAGACACAACACGAAAAAATTTTACGCGGTTTGGCTGTCGGCATTGCATTCACTATGTATGCTCGTTTGGAAGAAGCCGATGCGCTCGTGACGTCTTTAACCACCGATAAGGACCCAGTTTTACGACGATCTGGAATGTATACATTGGCCATGGCATATTGCGGAACTGGCAGCAACAAAGCCATTCGAAAGCTTTTGCATATTGCTGTAAGTATTAAAAATTGCACATCAAAAACGTTCGCAAAATTAAATGGACAACAAGTAATTTCAATTTGAAATGTTGAAAAAAAAAAACAAAAAAAAGTTTGGTAGTTAAAAGCACTGTTTTCTGTTTGCCAAAATTCCCATGAAAATGTCTTAATCTGATGTAGTAACAACATTTCATGTGGAAATTATGATCTTATCTGTTGTCCGTGAAATTGAAGTACATTCATTTTTGGCTCAAGGCAATTTGGCAAGCTTTGATTGCTGTTGAAAGTATATTCGATTTGTTTTTCTGCTTCTGCGAATCCAATTTAAAACTATGGACGGAATGAATAAAATTTTACTTTTCATTTCCTCACCGTTCTCAGGTTTCGGATGTAAACGATGACGTGCGACGTGCTGCTGTGACATCGATCGGTTTCATCTTATTTAGGTGAGTGACATTCAATCCCATTTTCACGGGTTATTACGTGTTGAAAATTTCCAAGAAAGTCACCAAGTTGTCTTTCACGTAATAAGCTCAAAATCATCCCCCCATGTAATTTTTGAATTTTGGGTATTGATTTAATTTAATTTCATACATATGAATTTTGCATGGAAAAATCAAATCACACAGTTTTCTCAAAAGAGAGATACATTTATTTGCTTCGGGAAAAAAATACCCAGAAATCAAGTGACATGGAACGATGAATTATTGTTTGTTTATGAAATAAAAGATATCCCAAAAGGATGTATTAAAAATGACATGAGTCAAAATTGAATGGTCCCTTTTCACTTTTCCAAATGAAAAGCTGTGATTTATATGAAAATATGAAAAAAGTTTTGTTTGATAAAATAACGAATAGGATTTTTGTGGTATTGGTGTTGTCGAACGGCGCCATTAAATGACATTGAGTCTGATATGTATGTACATTTTTTTGAAGAGGAGAATTCTGAAAGAAGAAGAAAAAGAAAGTCAAGTTTTTGCTAAAACAATCGACCCTTTTTCACTGTTATAGATGTCTATTGTTACTTTTTGCCATCGCAACATGCATGTGTATCAAAATGCGTGCTGAGTTCAAGTCAGAATAAAAAAAACTCCTTTTCTGTTTCATACAAGAAAAGGATAAGGAGCGAAAATTATTGGAATATCAAACTAGTAGACAGAAGGTTAAGTAGAAAATTTGCTTCAACAAGATCAAAATAATACGTGCCATTTCCATTGAAATTTCAACATCAAGTAATATAACCGGTGTTACTAACAGAAGCATAAAATAAACAACTGCAAGCGAAATAGAAAAAAAACAACGTTTTTTGGTTAATAGACAAATCAACATGAGAATATGATGTGGCATTATTTGACATAGGTCCTTTTTCGACTTTTTTTTATTTTATTTACCCCTTGAATTCCAAAGAATCCAATAAAATGAAATAAAATGAACTTGAGTTTCGAGTTCTGACGAAAAAAATGGCAAGATTCCTATTTTTTGCTGTAATTGGTGAAGAGAGTAATGATAGCAGTACTTTCTACGAGATAAAAAAGGAGTGACATTTTAAAATCATTGTACATCAATGTACACAGTGACATACCTAATTGAACGTTTATTCTCTGCCTTAGGGTGACTTTTTTCCCTTTCATCGATGATTTGTTTTAATTGGCAATTTACCGCAGGTATTTTCTCTTAAAAACCACAACAAGCATGACAAAGAACTGTTCGATCTGAAACACTTGACCGAAATTCAAGCAACAGTTTTTTTCTTTTCATGGTGGACCAATGGTTGTCTGATTAAAAGGTTCTAAATAAATTTCACTTTCAAACACGTTTTCGCTCAGGGCTATTTTCATTATACATTCGATGTATCAATTTCAAGGATAAAGCCCGAGAAAATGCAGAGAAAATAAATAGACGAACTTCGTTTCTCCTTAAAATGAGAATCAATGGTATGAAAATGGAGTATACCAATATTTTTTGAAATTCAATATGATTCGTTTTTTTCCTTAATAAATACATTATACTGTTTCATGTTTTGAATATAAAATGACAATATATTTTTTCGATGAAATATTGAAAAATGTTATATGGGTGATTGGACCATGGGCTGCAACAAAAAAAAGCAGTTGCACTCATGCAAACAATCTATCCGGATGGTCATCATTGAACATGTCCCAAATATCTCTGGGAACATGAGTCGGCAAAATGTCAAATAAAAAGCATATAAAATACTCGTTTGATAGGTATTTCATGGAATGTCTTTTATTTGCATTCGCTTCATTGTGCAAAATGACAATAACCGAGTCTTTTTTTCGCTGAAAACAATTGTGCTGCCACATTTATTGATCCAGAATTGTTGCGTTATAAAGAGATGAGAACAGTTTTTGGCACGTCAAAAAAACGAAAACCTGTACATCCATTTGCATGCATATTGAACACGATGAAATATACAATGAAATGAATTTGAGTATTTTATTTGCATAAAGATTCTTCGCCATCAGATCAAAAGAGACTATTTTTGCATATGAAACACTTTGCAACGGATTGAACGTACTTTTGTGAATTTAAATGAAATTATTGCGTTTGACGTAGCAACAACAATAGAGAGTTCATGAATGAAAATTGGTTTTGTTTCAATTTAATTTGGCGAACGGTTTTGTGTGTGTGTATTTCTTTCTCTCTCTCTCTCTCATTTGATGAATAATTTATCGTTCCAATGTTTCGATTGTGTCCTTTATTTTTTTTTGGATTTGATACGAAACAATTGGGTTGATCACCTGTTCTCCATTTTTCTTTGTTTTCTTTCCTCCCATCTCTTGCTTGTATCGATCGAAAATCAAATTAAATGGAATCGAATTTTGTGCTCTGAACAAGCAATTAAGGCCACAAATAAGATGACATTTTTTTGATACTTTTCTATGTGAATCAACATGGCGTTTTTACTTCGAATCGTCGTGGGGATGTAGACTCAATTTCCTTTTAAAAAAGCGGAAAAATATTTACGAAAAAATTTCCAAAGCGTGGGAAACTCATTTTGCCGAGTAAGCATTACGAAAAAAAGGAGACCCGTTACTCTTCGGTAGTAAAAATGTTGAAAGCATTCAAGCTGAAAGGTCAACAAAATAATCTCTTTTTTTTTTAACTGTATTCGACCCTTTGATTTCCACTGTGGTTTTCCACCATTCGCTATAGTGTTTTATTTGCTTCTGCATTCGTTTTCAACTTTTCAATTGAAGTTCACAAATGGAAACATTATGCATCGAATAAACGTTTTTCACATAAAATATACACTTAACAATGTAGGCAGTCATTGGGCGCATTCATCTTTCATTCTAATGCGATTGCATGTTCAATTGATTTCCAGCAGATTTAAGCTTTAAGCCAAATGATTTAGATGATTGTTTCCCATTAGTTTCCGCCAATATCGATTATGGAACGATTTTACACACTTATCACAAAACGTTCTGAAGGGACATTTCTCTTCGATAACAATTTAACCATCAAAATGTCACATTAATTTACTAATTTATTTTTTGACTTGGCGTTCGATAGTATGCAATTTTCTTATTGTTGGTCATGACAATGGAAATGTTAGGTTGACAAAATTGATGAAAAAAGCATCATTTAAGCGTGTCCCTTTTCCTTTGAAACATCGATTTCAATTTTCATGGACCGCCAAATTTAATGGCAACCAAAATGTGATTACGATACGTCATTGTATGTGACTATGCCTTGCTTTTTCATAACACCCATTTAAAAAGATTAACGCGCCGGTATGAGTGTCCAAGTCACCGAAAATATGTATAAAACATAGCTGGGGAGACAGGGAGAGGGAGATTATCCCTCCTGATGCATCATTTTTGCGTTACCCCTTTACAAAATTCATGATTTTGGATAGAATATTTCTCATTTTGCTAGGGTTTTTGGATCATAGATGAAATTTTCCTATTTTGCTAGGAGTTTTTGAGAAAATTAACCCCCCAATCCCCCCCTGAATTTTTCAGTCTGCCCAGCTATCCGATAGAATCAAAACCATCAACGAAGTTAAAGCGGGATAATTCAATTTTCTGGTGATGGTTTTAATTATAGCCATTAGGTACATGATGAACACCCTGATCTGAAAAAAATATGAGACGCTACGTAAATCGACTTATTCGGAATATTATTGATTGCGCCAACACTTTGAAAATTCGATCGCAAATAAAGTGACACGAACACACATTCACAATTATGAAGCGTAATTAATTAAAATTGAATGTGAAATGTGGCAGCATTATTTCGATGCGGTTGATAACATTAATTTTGTGTATTTCGATTTGATTAATTTCTTTCGGCTTGTTTACGATCGTCATAAGTTTAGTTGTGTTTGAAAATAGATTAGCAAACATACATACATAATATTTGGTATGAAAATAAAGAACAACAAACCGAAATTCCACTTTGAGTTCGTTTTTTTTAATTATCAGGGTCATGAAGCATAACGTGTAGACAAAATGAAAATGAAGACATCATTAATACACATTTTAATTGATTATTCCATAAATTTATTATCTTCATGTTCCATATAATCTTCAATCAATCTATTTTATTTAGTCCAACCTATTGCATATTGAATCTTTTGGACATCAACGTACAAAATACTCCAACAATCACATACTTTACATAAATATTCATGATCAATTATTGTACAAAAGAATCTGGTAATACAATACGATGGATGTGTACGGAAAAATGGTTGAATTTTTCCGCTTTCAATTTCAGTGTCTGCGCGTTTCCATTTGCTATCTCATGGTAACTGGATGAAACCAAAGACAAAGAGAAAAAAAATCTATGGCCCGTTGAACATAATGTCGACATGATAAAACCGATTCGCTTGGCACATCAAGGCTATTAAATATGAATTATGTTGCCGATAACAAAGCCAAGCCGAGCAAAAGTATTCGCAGATTTGGCTTGAAATGAAATCGAGTCAAAGGCCAGAAGTAAATCTCTTTCGTAATTTCGACTCCATTTCGATTATTTACTCAAAGCTGGTGACACATCCACATTTATTTATGTTGTGACATCGGAAATTCGAATGAACAGCTGGCACCGACATTTGGTGTGGATTCAGCCGATATTCACGCATAAATTTATTATAAATTTTGCAAAACACACATAATTACTTACTGGTTAGTATGTACGAATGAGCATGTGAGATTATGCGTGACATATAGCAAAGTCAAAACTGTCTGGGGCACCGATAAATTTATTCAATCTCAAATTAGAAACTCCATTTGTTTTAATAAGTAAAATAAATGATAAATTCGTGTACGATAGGTACGAATTTCGATTGAAACAAAAAGTCATTCCAAAATTTAACTTGCATAATTGGTACTTACATCAGTAATACACGTTTTTCATTCGTATTTTATTCATTGCAATCAGCCGCCGAAATGATTCTTATAATAGGATTTTGCTC